TTTTTTTTTTTTTTAAACAAGAACTTGACCTGTACATGTCTGAGCTTACCCGAGAAAGCAGAGCGAACCCTGAGTCTTCCGGGGCAGCGATTGCTTCACCAGTTTGGGTGCTGAGGGGTGACAGTTGGAATTGGCTCCAGATATAAATGAACTGTAAACCATAGAAGGCTCAAACTGCAACTGAAAGGTTTGGAAGTTTTTGAGCAAAAGCCTCAAGCCCAGAAGTGGACTCTTCACAGGCTCCAGCATCCCAATGTTTTTTGAAATGTGAGTGTCTCCGTGGTCTCTGCGCCAACCTCCAAACAGTTGGAAGCACACAAGCACCCCGAATGATCACATCCTGCAGAGTTTAGCAGCACTTAAGGCAGCTTTCCTGGCTGGAGACAGCCTTGACGAGGAAAGCGAGGACGAGCCACCAGAAGACGGAAGGACAGCAGGGTCATAGTTTACTGTGCAGAACTCAACAGTTTCCAATATTTCTTGTTTACAATCTAGAAAAATGCTTCTTGAATACTTTTGAATAACGTCCCTAGCCGCATTCGAAACCCTTTCGGCCGTTGAATTATAGAATTCCTTAAGTGAGAGCACGCCAGCGACACTGGCGACAGTTAAGTTTCCCGCCTTCTGGTTTAGTTTATTTATGCAATTTTGCCGAGTTTTAGTCGGGCTTTGCGCCCAGCACTTGCCTTGTGGACACTACCATTCGCAGCTGCTGTTGCCATCTGGCTTTCGACGGCACTGTATGAGGGTTTCGGAGGATGCTCTGGGTCATGCGTGTGGCGACAAGACAGGGGAAATTCCACTCCCATTGTTCTGAGTCTTAGTATTAAAGGGTAAGGAAATTGCTTGCCAGCTCAGGGTTTTCGTCAGTAGGGCTTAGGTGCGAGCTGAACAGGGCAGGTTGGGAACCTTGGCTTAGGGGCTGAGCCGTTGGGGATGGATCCAGATGAGTGGGAACTTTGATCTTAGGGGGCCCATAGCCGCCATAGCCCATAGCGCTACACTCTCGAGAGACACGTCCTTAATAATGAAGATCCCCAGCCAGGGACCTGTTCGCTCCGATCACTCCAAATTTGAGTCCTGGCATCCAACATATCCAACATCATTTCCACTGCAGGTGCAGACTTTTCCTGCTTTGGAACCGCGATGGTCAGAAAAACGAAGCAACAACAAATTGTGCTACTTTCGTTGGCAACGGTTGACAAAGTACAGTCCCAAGAGGGCAACGTAGCTTTCCTTTTAAAGCCATGCGGAGCCCTATGCCCGAGAAAGAGCCTCCATGACATCCCTCATTACCAACCTCAAACCCAAAGCCCAACGCCCTGCAGGCCAGAAGAAGAGCTGTCTGATTTCGCGGCCGAAAGCTAAGATAGAAAGAGAAGTCCCCAAAACATTGTCTGACGTCTGCCATTTTGAAGCCAGAGATTTGAATAGAGTTGAGTGCGGAATCGGGGCCAAACGAGGATAGCACCGCAGCTTCACTATCCCGTAATAAATAGTGACAATAGTGGATCAACTCCTGGCCTATATTCCCCTTAAGTAGATAGAATATGGTTTTGGGTATATTATAATAAGATCCCCATAAATCCCATATTCTATCTACTTAAGGGGGGCTATAAACAGCAGCAAAGGTTGGCTTGGATGGGCAGCTCTCAGCCGAAGCCATGCCATTCGCATCTCGGCCTCTCTAAAGCACACACATGTTATAGTATATCATGGTATATTATATAGGGTAGTCTAGTATATCATGGCAATATTTTGCAGTACATTATAGTATATTCCAGTATTCTTTAGTATAGTATAGTATATTACAGTATGTTATAGTATGTTATAGCATGTTATAGTATATCATTGTTCGCGGGCAAAGAGCCAAGGTGCCAACGAGCTTTGATGTGACGGGCTTATCTCGGGCTGTAGTAGTTTCCATTTTCTTTTCCATTATCATATAGCCCGAAAAATGATAGTAGTAATGATGGGCTATTATATTATGATTGCTAATAAGCCTCATGGACATTTGCTGCTTGCCCTTGGAAGCGTCGGCTGGTCTTGGATGTCCTTCAGGTCTTGAATCAGCCATTGGGCAACATTGCCGAGGAGGATGAGACCTTGCACATACCTTGTACATCAGCTGCACGCATATTATTCATATTATAGTGCCTTTTGTTGTAAGTTTGAGCCCATACAACAGCATGCTGCATGTCCAGCTTTGGATGCGCCGTCTCTTCAGGTGAGTATCTGCAGGCCACTTTGGAAGACGTGGGCTTGAGCAAGACGATCTTCAGGGTGCCAGCTGAGCGTCTTGGCAAGAACAAAGATCAGTGTACCTAGCTTCCGATGACGCGCAGGTAGCCAGGCTGCACAAGAGAACGTGCGCATGTGCATTGTCTTCAAGCCTGACATGCAAGGAGAAGGTGTGCATGTGCTTTGTCTTCACGCCTGTTGTAAGCGTACATAGAGCAACCCGTCACCAACTTGCTAAACTGCCTAAGATAATCTCGCCAAGGAGTGATGTTGCCAAGTTCATTAGCTATTTGAGCTCGAGAATGCTTCCGGCCTCACTCTCAGAGTCTGAGGACCACTTGAAGGGAAGTCCAAGCCTTGCAGCAGACGTGTCCCAGGATGTTTTTCAATGAGTTGACTGGCAGGAGATGCTCGATCTTTTTTACCAAGAGCTCCGAAGCACTTTGGCAAGTTAGGCCCTCAGATGTATGAGCCAGGGATGTGAGCAGGAGTGTACAAAAGTATGGGGCCCAATTGGATATCCACTCAAGTAGGAAGTTCCGGAGAAGCTGAATGCGAAAAATGCACGCAAGTTTGAGACAAGCCCGGTCACGAAAAAGCTATGTGGTTCGCTCATGCAGAGTGCCCAAACACAAAAAACCATGTACAGCCTAAACCCTGAGCATGAAACCATTAACCCTAAACCATTAATCCTGAAACCCTCAACCCTTTACCTACATCCCTGGAGTTGATGCTTTTCTTATTGGTTCTTAGCATGGAATAAGGGAATATAATCCCTATAGAATCCTTATGTAGTATATTCCCATGTTTCCTGCGAACCCAGAACCCTATAGTATGTTCCCATATTCCCTACTAAGAATCGGAAAGTTTTTAGCGCTGAAGGCTGCTACCTGGACCGAATTTGTCCCACTCTGCAGGAGGCCGGGAGAGCCGGGCCAGGCACAAGTTTTCCTGATACCAGCCAGGTATGCAGGGTTTACAGGGGTTATGGAGGGATATATAGGGATTATGTAAGGTTTAGAGAGATTTTTGCCCAGTGATGCAGAATAAAGTTGAAAGGAACCTGGAAAATGACATGGAAACTGGTATTATATGATGCTGATGTAGATTTATACTAAGTTGGGATTCCCAAAATTAACGGGACACTTTTCCAGCAAATTCTCCATGATAAGGATTCTGGTATTTCGGGGTTTACATTGGTGTCCCCCACCTTAAACCCCAAACTTTCTGAGCCTGCGGGGTCATATTCGTAGCCCAAACTATGGGGTTTACTTGGAGCATCTGTGAGGGAGCTTCACCCAGGAGCTGGGTTTGTACATAGGCAACATGAGAGCATGCAGAGTCTCAGCCGAGGCTAATTTGCCGACTTTCGGGGATATTCCGTTTAGGGGTTGATGGGATGTGAGCTATAGTCTAAACTCCTTGTATCCCCCTTAATATCCCCTATAGTAGTCCCCCATATACTCCCCTATATAACCCCCTTTAAGGAGTTTAGACTATGGCTCATGTGGTTGCTCCCAGTACGCATCCTTTGGACATGCTGTATTACCTTGCCCGGATTGGGCCTTGCGCTGCTGCGGCCATGAAAGTGGCAAAGCCGAAGCAAAACTTTACCAGTGAAGAGCACGGTTGTAGCTGCTGGGACATCTCAGCAGGGAATATAATACCTATGTCATAAATCCTCTTATTCTCTATTAACACTAAACCCTATATCATATCATATACCCCCCAGTTTTCTACTCATCTAAGATGGAAGGTCGAACGCCGGTTCAAGGCTCACCTGCCACCTTCGAGCCCTGCAGAGCTGGATTCGGCCCTGGTTCTGCCCATGTTTGCGCGGAAGGTCCCGGACACGCCACTGGGCTGAAGATACGGGATTCAGGTAGGAGAAATGGGGAATGTACCACATGCTGCGGTGGCCTTCAGGGGTCCATTGCGCAGGACCCAGCCAGCATGCGAAGCGTTCCGGCGCATTGTGGCGCTTTTCAGCAGGTATCACATCCTCCCTGCAGACGGACGAGGGCGACCCATCATGATCTTCTTTTCGGAGGTGGCAAGCTCAGGTTGCCGTGTCTTCAACGGGATCCCCAAAAACTGGCGTGCAAGCAAAATCTGAAAAGTCCATTGGGCCATCCATGCTAGTCACGATGTTGGTTTAATTGGGCGAGTCCGGCAGTGTTTGCGGTGTCAGAAGCAGGGTCCTCTTAACAGAGGCACACGCTGAGGCACCTCCTGCCGATAAGTGGATCTGAGCTGCGTAGCAATACATGTGATAGGAAAATTCTAAGATGAACTGATGCTTGATATGGCATGACGGTCCTCAATACAGAGACGGAGAAATGACGTTTCTCCTACCTAATACTGACATGGTGACCAGAAACAAGTCCTTTCAGTCTCAGCATTTCGTCTGGTGTAGGCGCCTTCTGGCTTCAAAGGCTTCCTTGACGTTGACTCCTCGCTGGAAGGCTGGACAGGCTGCTTTTTTGCGATGTTCTTTGTCACTGTTGTGGTCAAGCTCTTGCTAGTAGCATGGGGAGTACCACAAAACGATCTCGACAATGACTAGTACACTGCTAGTAAAACTAGTCCACTGTGGCTTTCAAGAACTACAACCACTTTTTAATTCTTCAGCAAGTCAAAAACATGAAGTTGAGATGCTAGAGCTGCTCGAGCCCATGCGGCTGCGGAAGAGAAACCTCCCTGGCAGCTAGAGCAGGTGACGGGGACTTCTCGCAGGAATCATGGGAAGAGCTGGATAAGGTGCTGACCGAGCTTGGACAGCACTGGCAACAATAACGGCAATAACGGTAATGATGGTAATACTGGCAATACTGTCCTGGTAATAATAGATGATAGTAGAAGAGCAGTAATCATAGTGATTATTGCAGCAACGGTCGCAACAGTAATAGTCATATAGTCGTGTCCATATTCTTTCCCATACCCCTGTTTTAGCTCTCATATAACCTTTAGATAAACCCTATAAATACATGTAACCTTTTGCTTGCAAAGTATGCGTTGCCTGAGCCCTCCTACCCCGCTAAGGCCCCTCATAAACCTGAGCCTTGATCCAAACCGCTAAGATTCTAGTTCTATTTTAATCCCATGGTGGCCTACGACCACCATGTTTGCTATGGTCTCGTTACAGCTTACTTGCCAGCATTATCATGCTAGTAAGATTTTGCATTACTGTGTTCGAGGGCTTGGTGTCATGTTTTAAAATCAGGATCACTTCCACATTTCGTGCGACTTTCGCAGTGCTGCCTTCGACGTGCGCAAGAAGGTGCGCTCGTGAGCTGGGCTTGGGGCTTTTGGGGTCTGGGTTTAGGGAAGGTGCTTCTCAAAATCAGCTCTGAAGACTTTGAAGACGGACCTTTGCGATCCCAATAGTGATCTTCAGGCTGTGAACGGTGAGAACTGTAAGTGTGGCTATGGGCGGGGTTCGAGAAAGGCATTCCAAGAAGGATTTAGCAGCTTAGTTTCCTAAAACCCTAACCCCTAAATCCCCCCGTAGTCCCTCTCGAATCCCTTATGCCTGAACACTAAACCCTAAATCCCTTCATAGTCCTTCTGGAATGCCTTATGCCCTAAACCCTAAATCCCCTCAAAGTCCCTATCCAATCCCTCGTACCCTAATCCCTAAATCCCCTCATAGCCTCTATCAAATGCCTTAGTACGTCCCTACGACCTGGTCTTTCATTTCCGCGCTAATCACAAGCAAAAAGAGGCACCTAGGCCCGTAAATTCTCATCATCAACCTCATATTTGCATTTTTTATAATCATGCCCACACACATATACACACATACATATGTGTCTCCCTTACAAGCTTATCTAACCTGTCTTTGAGCTATAGTCTAAATTCTTTGAACAAATCCTTGAAGGAGGATCTAGGAGTATATTAGGGGTTATTAAGCGGGATGCTGGGAGTTTAGACCTGAACCCTTAACTCTTTCTGCAGGGGGTTGTAAGTGCTCTCTGATGGAAGGTTCTTTGAGGGGATTTTGCCTGTGCTCTGGGCTACTGAGCCCCACTTTGGAGATGTGGAGGACTCCTGTGAATCAGGGCTAAGATTTTTCTGTTTGAGGCAGGGTTGTTTGAGGTCTTTTCCGTGGGGCTGGGGTGCAGAAGTTGCCTGAAGTCTTTTTGGACCTTGCTGTAAAGCGCTCTCCGAAGCTTAAGCCTGAAGAGAAAAGGTCACATAAAAGAAAAACAAAAAAACTGCTGAGTTGCGAAGGGTTGAAGTTTGGTCCTGTCTTGGGGGACCTCGGCCTCGCTTTTGGCTTTCCGACCGTGTTGGGGGAGGAAAAAGGCCAAACAACAATCCGAATCTTAAGCCCTTGGGGTTAAAGTCCCCCTTAAGTAGATAGAATATGGGGTATTTGGGGTTCTTCTTATAATTTACATTACACAATGCCATTCTCTATCTACTTTTAAGGGGGACTATATTAAGGACGAGACTAAACCCTAAACCCTAAAACCCTAAACCCTAAACCTTAAACCCTTAACCCTAAACCTCGCATAGCCCCTCTTGCTACGCGACACTGCAGGTGCAGCACTTCCAGGACTGGCCTCTGGCCGAGGCCAGGGCAAGCAGGGCATTTAGGGTTCAGGGTGAAGCGTTTAAGGTTTAGGGGGTTAGGGGTTTAGGGGTTTAGGGGCTTTAGGGCTTTAGGGGTTTAGGGGTTTGGGGATATAGAGTTTGGCGGTTTGGGGTTTAGGGGTTGAGATTTGAGGGCTTAGGGTTTGGGGTGCAGGGTCTAGGGGCTTAGAGGTTGAGGGTTTTAGGACTTTCAGCTAGAAGTGCCGTATGATGGAGTGCCCTTCAGTCTGGCAGAGCTTGCGGGAGTCTAGATGGGGCTCTCAAAGCACTGGGGTACCCAAACTAGGTCCCTAAAAGGGATTCTGGGAACACGTATGGACGTGGTGGGATATGCAGAAACAGAAAGAGGGATAGATTCTGTAGGGTGAAGGGTTTAGGATTGAGGAGCAACATGAGGATTGCATGGGATTGCGGAGGAATTTTGCAGTCGCTCTATCATGATATCAAAACATGCTTTTAAAACTGCCATCAAAGCCAATTCCCCACATGAGGCTCGCATTTGTGGGGCCCAAGATAACCTACCTTGATTTGTTGGAAGTTGCGGCTCTCATTTTTCACTGTACGGACTCTTAGTTACGGCGAGTATGGTAGGATGTCTTGACAATCGTTTGCAGACAATGTCTGCTTGCAAAGTTTGTCCATGGCCGTTCGCCCACGCCGAGCTTTCGTGTTTGTACCTTTTTGAGGGTTACGGCTTGCTGGTGGGATGGCTGGGATTGGGATTTAGCACTAGCAGCATAGTGGCGGGATGCTGTTCACGTTCATTGGAAGGTTTGCAAGACCCTGCAAGTTCACACTGTGATGGATCATGATGAAGAAATGGCAGGTGGAACTTCTTCTCCATGCGGCGGTGGGAGGCAAGAAGCTGCTCGCTTGGGAGGACTTTGCACAAGCTGATAGCCATGCAACTCTATCGCTTGTGATGATTTTCCATGTGGAAGAGCATCTCCTTCACCACAGGACTGTTTGAGACCCGCCAAGCACGTCATCTCGCTGATGTCAGAAAGAGATGACAAGCAGTTCCGAGGCTTCGCCGGGGTTGGGCCTTGCTGAAATGTTCGTGTGTGCCGGCACCCAGTGTCCCAGCGGGGGGCTGCATGCAAGTTTTGTACAAAGAGCAGTCATGCTGGGCTGTTGCTTGGACATTTGTCATATCTTGCGCAGGCACCCTGGGACAGAAGAAGACGGACAGCTGGACTCATCCACACAGGTGCCTTTGTTTAATATCATATTTGTGTCACAGACTTCCAAAACTTGATCTGCCCTACCCATGCCGCATTGAGTGACATTGTGCAGGGGGTCCCGCGGCCGCCACAAGGCCACAGAGAGCGAGCCACGCTATACACAAGACAAGGACCGGGATGCCAATTGCAATCACTGGGTGCTGTAACAGGCTCAGACGCTTGATGAGAGCTCACAGCCCAGACCCTATTGTTACTACTATTATTATTACTATTATTATTATTACTATTATTATTGCTATTATTACTATTATTATTATTGCTATTGTTACTATTGTTACCCTAAAAAAGAAAGGAGAGCCTTCATATGGCCCAACCGGGGCACCCTGACCGAGACCAGCACTGGCCATCCTTGGGCCCCGGCCCTCCCAGGCAGTTCGGCTTCAGATTAGTTAGGCCTTAGTGGGGGTTTCCCAAAATTAGGGGTACCATTTTAGGGGTCCCAATAATACGGACTATAGTATTTTGGGGTCTATATTGGGGTCCCCCTATTTTGGTAAATTACCTAGTGTAGATAATGAAAGAACTTTGTGTGGGAGTGGGAGGGGGATGTAGAAATCATCTGCATCATGTGGGGATGAACAGTTGCAGGTTTCGTAGACGCTGCGCACAATTTTCTGGCATATTTGAAGCATCATGTGAATGTTTGGGCCTCTTTTGAGCATCCTTTTGGCAAGGGTTTTTGTTGCTTTGGAGGTGTGCCACTTTCAGACCGGCTCGAATTTGTGCTAAGCCCCAGCATGCCACTTCACAAGGACAATGGTCCATTATTTGATGAGACTCTATATTGGGGTTCCTTAAAACAAACATGGCTCCGTTTCTTGAAATTGGGATCTATAAGGGAGAGGCCGGTTTGAGAAATGCCCTGATGGTTTTTTGGAATTCTTAGCAGCCCCGATGGTGCCATAACATGTCTTGATCTCATTGGTAAGCAGACGCAGATAACTCTATCACATGACTTGCAGAGACGGACTGAGGTGGCAAGAGAAGAGGCCTTGGGTTGAGGTTTTAGGGGCTTCATTGGCAGAGCTTGGAAAAGGATTATGGTAAGACGATCGGGAGTGTTTTAGGGTTTGCTGAGGTATAGCTAGAGGGCTTTCTAGGTGCAAGCTTAGGGCCTGGCGGTTGTCGGAAGATTCTGGCAGATTGTCCGGGGTCGAACTTATCCAATCACTATTGTTCAGTGCAACTGGTTGTTTCTATTGCTGCCGCTACGAACCTGTATTGGTCCATGTTGACGCCTTGGAATTATCGGATGGGCTCGTGGAAGCTCTGTAGTCGCCTTGTTCAGCTCTTGAAGTTCCCAGACATGGGCATATCTTAATTTGTGAGTTTCCCCTGTGGTCCAGCTAGTAAGTATTCTGGACAAGGCAAAAGAGGTTCAAGGCATTCTCTGGCTTTTCCAAGAAATGATGTGCATGTGTTGCCAGGCAGCTCAACCTGTCTCAGCAGCTCTACGGATATCAGGGCGATGACACAGGAAGAGCAGATAGCCATCGAAGCCCGGTGCTGAGCTCCTAGCATGCTGCGCTCAGTGAGAGATTGTGTTCTTGAATTGGAACCCTCGAGGCAATCGAAGCAGCAGCAGTACCAGCAGCAGCAGTAAATACAAGTGGCCAGTGCCGGAGGTTGAAATTCCGGAGGAGACTGATGTCAGTGCTACACTGGATGCTGTTGACAGCACAGAACAGATATGAAAGTCGATCGTGAGCATTCCGGGGGCTTAACCGTGCAGTGTTTGCAGGAGGCTCGCTTCAAGGTAGAGACCCTGGTGCTACTTGGCCCGTAAGCACTTTGAAGTCCATACACAAGCGGGGCAAGTCAAGCTGAAGATTGAATTGACCTAGGACGGCCTGTCCTGACGGAGTGAAATATTTTCAGCTCAAAAAGCTGCTGACAGTCTTCAACAATGAAGGCTGCCTGCACCCAGGGACGCTTGGTGATGCAGAGTTGGTATTTGTTCTTTTGAACTCTTTATGCGCTTCATGCTTGCGTATGGTCCACTGTGCAACGCAGACACATCTCAAGCACCATCCGCAGCCTTTGCAGCTCAAACTGTGTTGAAAGAGCAGTATAAAGGCATGTCCAGCAGATAGTGCCGAAGTCTAGATCCAATCTAATCTACTGGGAGGCGAGCACTGGAGGATCGTACATCATTCCGCAGAATCTTTAAGCAAAGGCTATGATTTAGGTTGCAAAAGTAGCCCTGCATCGTGACGGTCGATCCTATGAGTGCCTGATGATGGAACAATTCGCCTTTGTTTCCTTGTCTTCGTCACTGGACGCTGTGGATGTCGATGATGGGGAGACAGAGTTGGTACTGCACCGCGCGGCTCTCAGATGCCTGCGGCTTTGTCCAGCTCACGAGCGCACGCTTATGATTTAGAAGCGTCCAAATAAGAAGGAAAGTGCATGTCAAGGTAGAGCAGTGACGTGCCTTTGTCAGGTCAAAGCCAGGTTTCGTCTTGTCCCGGATGACTATTGTACCAGTGGGTTCACATCACACTACTGTTGTAATCTGAAGTCCAAAGCCACGGGCTATGTTCGGCAGGAAGCCAGCCATCTAAGCAGACATGTGTCCCTTTGCTGCAGAGATGATAAGAAAACATTGGGTTTGTACGGCGATTACGTAGTTTTTGCGGAATTACATCGAGTGCATGATGGTTTTGGTCCAGCAAGAGTTTTGATTGCTTTTGCTTCTTCTGGCTGTGGTGCGGATGTAGGTTACTGGGACTATACTGTTAAGTGTATACATGTGGCTCATGTGCGAGATGCGTCACTAGTGCAGTCCCGCAATGGTGGTCCAACAAAAGGGCTAGCATATCCTAGGAGCAAAAAAACATGGTAGGTGATGCTGAGTGATTATGCGGTCGCTCGCCTGGCATTTCAGGAAGCTGCAAGCATGGACGGCCAGGACGAGCAGATGGTCAAGGCTTCGCCTCCGGTAAATCTGCTTTTGCTGGGTGAAGATAACCTGGCACCGGGGAATCTTGACCGCTTCGAGGGGCAAGAATTTAGTTGTGGAGGTCCTAGAGGGGCTGCAAGGGCAGCGCAAGTCCGGGCAGAGTTGTTGTAGGCTTTAGATGGGGTCTTGCTTGGACAGTTTGGGAGCTGATGTAGGACCTGAAGGAGAAAGTTGATGATCATGAGTGAGTGCTATGCCGAAGCCATGCAGGTACACGGGTACTGTATGGCCCCTGTTTGGAGACCCTGCTATGTAAACGAAGCTGTGACACGCTCTGCTGGATAGGTGGGCTTTGAGCCATGTGTTGAGTCAGTGTTAGCTTTGCACTTCATTCGACTTAGATTCAATTGCCTTCTTGGACAGTAAGGATGAGCTTCCAAAGTGTGTCCCAGTCTAATGTGTGAGCGGTTCTGTTGTTGACATGTGATGCTTCAAGGACCTTTGAGCTGCCGCCGGAGGTGTCCGTTGTGCTCGCACACTCACGCTGCCACTTCAAGTTGGGCTGTGAGCTTGACCTGAAAGAAGTTTCTTAGAATCAGCTTGGCAAGGGTATGCAATGATGAATGCTCAGCAGATTTGACTTTTCGTCTGGACCAGACTGACCGTTGCCCAGGTTTCATGCAAGCTGCGCAACGCGGAGTACAACCCGCGTAAGGGCACTGGCAGTCTTCATCTCAGGCTGTTCCGACCGTCTGCCACAGCTCGTATTTGGTACCACGGCAGTGTCAGCTGCTCGGTCAAGGCCAGGACGTACAAGTTTCATGCTTTGGATTTGAAATTATCCGTGGCATCAGTGTGGTGGACAGGGCGATCTAGATGATACTCGCCGAGCCGCACGGCGAATCACTCGCATGATCCAGTTGCCTTGCCGAAGTCAGTGATAAGATACATCTGAAACCGTTGCGTATGTTTCTAGGGACCGGCGTGCTTGTTCTCCTCACCGTTACTGCTTCCGATGCTGCCATTGCTATATCACTGACGGAAAAGGTCGATGCCCTCTTTCATGAATTGTGACCACGACCTTCGCGTCGGACATGCTACGACTGCTGCTCTGAAGCTGCAACTTCGCCGACCACTGTAATCGCAAAGCGGCCGCAAGCGATGCGGGGCACCATCACTCAGCACCACGTGCGACTGCCCCGGCCGTCCTTGCTCTCCGGTCACTGCCAGTGCTTTTGCTTTCCCTTTTACTATTGCAAGTGCCGCTACGTAAGCTGCAGCTGTAGCATGCAAGCCTGCGACGGCTTGCACTTCTTCCGCAAGTTCTATAGGTGGCCATTTGTCTTACATGTTTTTCCAAGGAGATGTGGCTACGATGCCCGCTGCGAGAAGTTTCGCCTGACGTGTCAGCACGTGAATGCAGACTTGTGCTTTCCTGTTCGATTAGAAGCCTTAGCCAAGAAGTGGCATCGCCATGTCTTATATGAACCAGAGGTTCATGCCCGAGCCTGCTTCTATTTGCAGCATCCTCGCTGTTGTGTCTCTATCACTTCCAGTGGCAAAGCCAATGTCTTCGATGCCCCAAACTTGGAGGATGGCCAGGAAGCCATCAGAAGAGTATACTCCATTTTCAGGGAGTTCTCATGTTGAGCTGTGGATGTGTGGTGGCGCGAGGGGAAAAGTCCCCTCTGGCAGAGGTAGTATAGCAATCCTGTCTGCGCGGAAGGGAAGAGGGGAAGGAGGTGTCCGATTCGGAATGGAGCGAAGACGAACTGCTTGCTGAGGATTGTTCACCAGGTGTTGACTGAGAAGCAGAGGCCCTCAACAGAGTTGGAGGAGCCAGGGCAGCCAGGATGCTTTTGTGTTTCGAGGTCACGATCGACAGCATCCTCATGCTAGAAACACGGGTATGCACCTTTGTGTTTATGTTTGCATACCGACGTTTGTTGAACATAACGTAACAAAAAGATGCAGGTACAGTATTGGTGCTATGTTTGTGAAGTGTTGTCCCTGCCCCTCAAGAGCAATCTGAGAGGGGGACCACCCTGGGAGGAGCCGCCGCCAGGGCTTCCAATGCCGCCGGGCCTTGAGGCAGAAGGGCTTTGATTTAGGGGTTAGGGTTTAGGGTTTAGGGTTTAGGGATTAGGGTGTAGGGATTAGGGTGTAGGGTTTAGGGTTTAGGAAGGGCTTTGATTTTTGATGGGTCAAGTGTTTAAAGCCTTAGGGTTCAGGGTAACCTAGACCATCAAAACAAGATAAAGGTACCAACACATTACGTACATACCCTTTTAATGTGCATTGGTTGTTGTAGGCAGGGCTCAGGTTGCATCCCCAGTCCCTAAACCCTAAACCCTGAACTGCTTTTTGGGAAGGGGATAAAGATTGTTCAACTACAGTGTTTGCTCATGTAAATCAGGCATATTCCTCGGGTGCTTCAAGAGGGACCGGGGCATGTATGTAAATGTAAATCTTGTTATTCTACATGGGAGTT